TCCCAGTGACTTGGGAGGCTAAGGCAGGAGGATCATGAGTTCAAAGCCAGCCTCAGCAACTTAGTGAGGCCCTAAGGAACTCAGTGAGACCTATCTCTATTAAAACATAAAAAAGGCCTGTGGATGTGGGTCATTGGTTAAATCATCCTGGGTTCAATCCCTGGTACCCCAGAAAACCCCAAAAGACAAAAAAAACCCCAAAAAACCCAGTGAATAAATGGGCAAATGAAGTAAACAGATACTTCTCAAAGGAAGAAATACAAATATACAACAGATATATGCAAAAATGTGCAATATCTTTAGCCATCAGAGAGATGCAAATTGAAACTGCACTCAGATTTCATCTCATTACAGGTAGAATGTCAGCCATGAATTATCCAAACAGCAGTAAATGCTGTATACAGTGTGAGGAAAAGAAAAACTTTTATAATGTTGGTGGGATTGTAAAACTAGTAAAAGACTAGGAATGGAACCACCATATGACCACTTCTTGATATTTATCCTAAAGCAACACAAATACTCATGTTTACAGTAGCACAATTCACAATAGCCAAATTGTGGAACCAACCTAGATGTCCATCAACAGATAAAGTGAGAGCTGGGCCTGTAGGTCAGTGGTAGAGCACTTGCTTTGCATGTGTGAGACACTGGGTTCGATCCTCAGTACCACATAAAAATAAATAAACAAAATAAAGGTATTGTTTTAACCTGCAACTAAAAATTATATATATTAAAAAAGCACCAATTTAAAAAACAGATGAAGTGATAATGAAAATGTGCTATGTATACACAATGGAGTTTTATTCAGGCATAAATAAGAATATGTCAGGAAAATGGATGAAAATGTATGAAATATGAGTTTTATTTTAAGCAAAATAAGCCAAACTCAGAAAGTCAAGGGTCATATGTTTCTCTCATATGTGGAACCTAGAGAAAAAAAAAAAACTCATGAAAATGGAAGAGAAAAAAAAGCTCATGAAAATGGCTCTCATGAAAATGGAAGGGACACTAGTAGAGTAGAGAAAAGGAACCAGGGGAGGAAAAAGGGGATGGAAATGGAAAATGCTGGGTGTTAAGGTTTAGATATGAGGTGTTCCCCCAAAAGCTCATGTGTAAGAAAATGCAAGAAAGTTTAGATGTGAGATGATTGGGTTATGAGAGCCTTAACTGATGTGGATTATCTGGGCACTAAGTATAGGTAGGTAGGGAATGGCTGTAGGAAATAGGTCATTGGCAGGTGTGACTTTATATATATTTTGTCCCTGGTGAGGAGAGCCTTGTCTACTTCCTGGTTGCCATGTCTGAGCTGGTTTCATCATCCTCACCCTTCTGCAACGATGTTATTCCTCACCTCAGGCTCAAGGCAATGGAGTCGACTGTCTATGGACTGAGACTACTGAACCCGTGAGTGTATAATATACTTTTCTTCCTCTAAATTTTTTTTGTCAGGTCTTTTGGTCACAGTGGTGAAAAAGTTGACTAAAATACTGTGGAAAACATTGACCAAATTGTTGTATATGTGCTTATATGTGGGGACAAGTACATGGAGTACTGCGTACATGGCATACATTAAGGGCATCTGAATGGCAGGCCACTTCCCTCATGCTAGGCGTGTGTGTGGCAGACCCCTTACCCCATAGGCACAGCCCTGGGCATGAGGTCATGTGTTGCAGTCCCGGTGCTTGTTCCACGGCCCACTCCTCGATTGGTTGCTGCAAGAACAGTTAGCAAGAAATTGTATTGGTGGCTGCCTGTAATCTGCCTAGCTACTGCCTGAGTATATATACATGGTAACTGTGCAATAAAATCAGACCTGCTTCCTGCTTGGTCTCCAGAGGTCTTGATTAGTGACTCCACAGCCACACTCTCCTCTACCCTGTACTGTGGAACTCTTCATTGGACAAGAGAGAGCCCATGCACTTTTATAATAACCATCCCACTATTATGTATAAATATAATGCATCAGTAAACATATGGAAAACAAAAGAAAGGTAAGGTTGAAGTTTATCTAATAGTCAATAATAGTAATATCTAATGTATATTTTCTATGAACATGTAGAAAAGACTAAATAGCCAATTCAAAACATGGGTTTTGAATAATTATGGGAGTTAAACAACTGTAATTGAGAATGCTTAATCTATTTGTAATGTTATAATAAATTAAAAGTGTAATGGATGTCGCATTTGATCTATAATTAAAAGAAAATTTTATATAGAATGTGTGAAAGTTGCCACAGTTTGGGCTATCAGTATATAAATGTAAAAATGGGTGAAAGAAAGAGAAACATCTCAAAAGAAAAGCATAAAAAAGTTGCACAATTGGAAAAGTGAAAGCCAAACAAAACAGAATAATAAGTTCAAATTCAGTAATAATTAGAAAATGTAAGTTAAAATAATGAATACTCATTCTATACCCATTATTTTGGCACAAACAAAAAATGTAAAAAATTGAAGATTGACTAGGACATGGGGAACATGAAATACATATAATCTGATTAGATTATACCATGATTTGGTATACTCAACACAACAACTTAGTATTTAGAAAACTTGAAGAAGTTACACTAACAACTCACCATTTGTCATTCTGGGGTGTACTCTACATAAACTCAGGTAAGAGTACACAACAATATTAATTTCAGCATTGTTTATAAGAACAAACCAAAATGATCAACAACAGAATGGAAGTTTGAATTTATTTTTCTATGATTCAAAAAATGTCACATGTGTACTCTCCAACAGTCTTTGAATGTAACAAGGAATGTTAGAGACAAGCAGAGGAAATTAAAAAAAAAAACAACAAAATATTGAATGACAAAAGCAAGCTGCAGAAAATAATTCAATATGATAACATCTGCATTTTAAATTTAGACAAGTTGGATTATGAGCCATTTCAGAGTTCTATTTTAGGCTTGCTGACAAAGTGATCACCAAGAAATAAACATTTTCTTGAATATCCTTAAAAATTGATTTATCTAGTTAGAGAAAGATATTTTAGATATGACAAGTACAGGATTGCTTAGTTTCACAAAGCACAGTGTTGTCACACTCTTATCAGTTGTGTAGTGTATACTTGGGTAATAAAAACCTAGAACCATCTCATAGAAATCTCAGGTGTGGGTCATTAAAGAGATTTTATATATATATATATATATATATATATATATATATATATATATATATATATATCTTTCATAAGATGCATTTAAAAATTATTGAGTGATAAAACACACAGCATATGTGTGTGTGTGTGTGTATGTGTCTAAAATTAACTTACTGTGCATCCTAAGAATCTTAGCATTGAAAGGCGGGGAATGTTGTAGGGACAAAGGAGGCAAGGCACCGAAGGTAGCAGGAAACAGTTTTATTTGGCTGCAGCCAGGTTCAGAGGGCACAGATTTTGCTGTAATCAATCAATCCCCTGAACCCCGAGTTCAGGGAGTTTCAGAGTTTTATACCCTGCATGTAAGGGGAGGGGCTCAGAAGTTCACAGTCTGCAGAAATTCACATAAAAGCAGTTTTTTCTTCCACTGTTCTGGGCAAGTTAACCCTTCAAGGACAACACCCGAGAAGGGGAGAGCTTCTTCTCCCCTTTCTTTCCTCCCCCTGTCAGCTGTTACCATGGAGCCCAGTTGGTAACTTCTCTTATCTTAGAAATGTAGACATCTCTGTGAAGCCCAGCTCAAGGCCAGAGGCCTTGTTTGCACATTTCTACAAACTTCTATACTGGATATGTTTGTGAAAAACTAGTAAAGGGGTGGCCAGCACCTGGAGTGCTGGTATCTTTTCGGCCAAGTAAAACAGGGTAACACGAAAATAGGAAGTTTATCTACATTGAACTCTTTTGCAGAGATTCTTTTGCTGACAGTCCTAAAATCAGCCATGGAGAAGAATTCTGGAGAAGCCCAGTTATGTCTTTTCTGTGGAGAAAGGGGGTGCCACTTCAGGAAAAGAACAGGATCTGTGATGGAGTATAAAACAGACTTAGATATTTTTGGTAATATACTATTTCCATTTTAAGAGTTCAAATAAAAATGTTAATTCTCAATGGAGAATATTTAGTACTTCTAATATTGCTATATATACTCTACTTTTTTTCAAATTATCCACTAAAATTATTTTACAAAGAATTTTTAAAAAAAACTTAATTTGCATGAATGGTGCAAGCTTTCTAAGAGCATAGGAAAAAAAGGAAAGAAAAAAAGAGTGCTATTTTGCTGTGAGCTCTGGGGAATGGGAAGCAAAGGAAGTTGATTTTTTTTTCAAGTCAATTTTCTGAATTTTGCACATTTCTTACATTGTGCATGCAATTCTGCAATCAGGGAAAAAGAAAAAAGGAAAAAGTATCCGTATGAAATCAAGCCCAGGAATGAGCAGTCAGTTAAATTTACAGATTAGGTCAAAATGGCAGACAGCATTGAACACCAATTTCTCTCATATTCCTAATCCCCTCAAATGATAGGAAAGGCAGGTTTTGGTATTTAAGTAACTCTGTAAGGGCAAGGAAGCAGCAAATTCCTGGAAGAAGAAAAGCAGATGGGGTAGAGGCCCTGAGTGGGTGGAGTTGGAAGTGGGGGTGGGGAGCCTAGGCGTCCCTAACTGGAGGAGGAGACACCAGACAGTCGGGGGCGGGGTGGTTCTAGGCCCTGAGTTTACTGATTTGGAGAAGGGGCGGGGCCTAGCTCCCAGCTGCACGACCCCCCCCTCCCAACTCCCACCCCCCCTCCCAACTCCCACCCCCCCCCCCCCAACTCCCTCCCGCAGGCCAGTGGCTGGGGGTGGGGGTCAGGGAGGGGATTGTTGGGCTGTGTTTGGCAGGAAGGGGAGGCCTCTCTTCTGGCAGGAAGCTGCGCTAAGAAAAGAGGGAGGAGACTGCAGCGGCAGCAGCCCCTGGTGGAAAACCTATGTGTGGCAGAAGTGCTGCAGCTGCTGACACCGAGGTTGAGGGCGAGCGATCCCAGCGCTGGTGACTCCACCGCCGCACTCCTACACAAGCTTCTTGCCTCAGAATCTTCGCCCCTTACCTCTTGCAAACACTCATTTGGCTGGGCTGGTCGCCTGCTGCGCTTCCTGCATCACAGGCTTACAGCCAAGGCAGCAGTGAGGTGTCCGATTGGGACACGTGAAGACTTGGATCCCAGACGGTGGGGAGGTGGGCGCTGTACTGAGGGGTTGGTAGGAAAATTGGCAGGAACATTGGAAAGAATGATGGGTTTGAGATGAGGGAAACTGGGAAGGGTAATTTGGGAGCAGATGGTGATGGTGAGGAATACTAGGATGGTGTACAGAAAGGGAAATTTTGGTGCGAGCACCAGTGGTAAAATGTGGATAGCCAGGAATAGATATGAAGGAGAAATGAGCACCAGGTAGCCTGCATGGGTATGGACAGGAATAATGAATGAACAGTAGGTGGCTAAGGAGAGGAGACATGGGGACTGCTTGTACTGAAATGGAGAGATGAAGTTAGGGCTAGAAATGGTGAATGTGTTTGGGGGGCTAGAATGGGGACAGAGGATCAGGAGATATTCAAAAGATCCTGTCTGGGGTCCCAGCAAGCAGGACCACCACAGCAACCTGCTTAGTTTTCTTGTGCAGCCAAATAAGCCTGGAATGAGGGCAGGCATCCTAGGGTGTATTGATACCTAATATTGCTACAGGATACATATGAATAGCTTGTGCAGCAATATACCTTGTGTGTAAGGACTTGGCAATACAGAGAAAAATCCCTCACTTTATATTACATAGAATCTCTCTCTCTAGCTTCTTTCCTCCCATTGCAGGAATGAAAATGCACCACAAAAAGACAGCTGCAAGACAGCAAACCAGGGAGGCTCCAGGTCACCACACCAATTCTACAACCTTCAGGAAGAGAAAGGCCTCACAAAAGAAGCAGAGGAGGAGATCTTCACAGTCCCAGAGGAACATCGTGGGCCGCAGAATTTCTCATGGATGGAAGGAAAGTGATGAGCCCATCACCCAGTGGAAAGGAACTGTTTTGGATCAGGTGCCTATAAATCCCTCTCTTTATCTGGTGAAATATGATGGAATTGACTGTGTCTATGGACTGGAACTTCACAGAGATGAAAGGATTTTAAAGCTTAAAATCCTTCCTGATAAGGTGCCACTTTTTCAAGTCAGAGATGTGCACTTTGAAAATACCATAATTGGCAAAGCAGTGGAACACATGTTTGAGGGTGAGCATGGTTCTAAGGATGAATGGAGGGGGATGGTCCTAGCCCAAGCACCTATCATGAAAACCTGGTTTTATATTACCTATGAGAAAGATCCTGTCCTGTACATGTACCAGCTTCTAGATGATTATAAAGAAGGTGACCTCCGTATCATGCCAGAGTCCAGTGAGTCTTCTCCAACAGAAAGGGAGCCAGAAGGAGTTATAGATGGCCTGATAGGTAAACATGTGGAATATACCAAAGAAGATGGCTCCAAAAGGTCAGGCAAAGTCATTCTTCAAGTTAAAGCCAAACCTTCTGTGTATTTCATCAAGTTTGATGATGATTTCCACATCTATGTCTATGATTTGGTCAAAAAGTCCTACTAGGGTAAAATCTGCCAAGTGTGGGGAGGCAAATGTATAATTTATATATATGCAAAAAGTGTAAACTTTTCAAGGCATTGGAAGCCTAAGGGTCCTTGATAACCTACATCTTTGCCAGCATAATTATTGTTTTATTCTTAAAAATACAAATTTATGTGGACAGGACATGCTGTATGTAAGCATTCTGTCTTGTTGTAAAGATTGGGTGTGTTTGGTGGACGAAGCATGTAAGGAAAAGCTGTAAACTCAGACTGTAAATAAAGTTCACCTAGTATCATAATCAGTTGTCTGAAACTGGAATGGCACTTAGCTGGTCTGGGTCTAAGGAGGGAAAGGAAAAAATAGGAGATAGGCTGTTGGGGAAGGGCAAGGAGGAGGTGACTGCTTGGTAAGTGATAAAGAAAGTCCCCAAAGTGGGAGGCTTTATGGAGAAAGGAAACATTAAGTTGAGAAGGTAGTGAAGAATAAGAGTAAGATCTTGGGGATTAGAGAAAAATAATATGAATAGAAGATGGGCACAAGCTTAGAAAATGTCCAGTCAGGAGGAAAAGGATCAAGCTGGTAGATGGAGATGAGGGGGATGCTAAAGAACATACAAAGGGATGGTTTACGTATGTATAGGTGGCCAGAAAGGGAGAGGTAGAGCAGAAAGAGGAATTCCAGAAAGGAAGACTGACTAAAGGAGTGAAAACACAGGAGAAAAAGAACTTATGGGGAGTGGGGCTCATAAGGGACGGGAAGATCCAGAAAAAAGTTGGACTCCTAGCAGTATCCATATTGCCCTCTTTGACTCTTTATACAAAGGAAATAGCAACTTTCAAGGCAAATATATTAGAGGCTCCCCAGAAGGGCATTTGATCAAGATGACTCAGACTAGTTAATCTGGAGCCAAGTTTTTACCTACAAGACTTTTCTTCTTTCAGTGAGTTTGTGCAACACCTGCCAAGCAGAACCTTGGTCATCAGACTAAATATACTAACATAAACTCTTGGCTATGGGATGCCTCTTTGCGTATTTCCCAGAGGACCTAGATATGGTAAATCTAGGACCTGAAGGTCATGATTCATTTCCCTTACACTGGATAACCAATAATTGTGGAAAAGAATGGTGTTTTCAGAACTTTAGAGATGCCATCTTGAGTTTGGAATATATTTTATCTGGAAGAACGGAATATTGCTGAATCCTTGTGTAGCAGTCCCATCACTGTTCTTCCTTCATTTGAAATGTTCCTTGTCTTCCTAGAGAGGACAGGCATCAGAGTATTAAGCCTAATATTTCTTCATGGCATGGAACTGTCCATGATTCTTTCAGCAGCTTCTTACTGCCACAAATGGTTCTACTCAGTGCTTCAACTAAAGGAGAACCTCTACCTTCTGGAGTCTTATTCTGGCTAGATCCACACAAACACAAAATCAGTGACAACTGATCCCGTCACTGATATTTCATAAATATCAAATCTTGATATCTCTTAAATCTTGATCCTTTTAAGCTTGCATGGAGCCGTGGTGGAATATTGTATAGCTTTTTGTTTCTATGTGATACAAATGTCATGGGCATTCAATATGGGCGTTGTGACTTTGTATAACTAATTCCTTTGGCTTTATAATGCCACATGGAGTGGTTATGGTTGGTGAAAAAGTAAAGTCTCTCAGAATTATGGTGTCTACTGTACTGACTTGGGTCCTTCTCTTCCTCTTTGTCTTGTCTTTTCCCATTTTCCTGAAGTTTCTCTCAAAATCCTTTCTCTGCTTTTCACATCTACACCCTTCACTAAATTATACTATCAGCCAGCTGTCATGTTTTGCCTGCTATGTGTTTTTATTATTTTCTATTTTAAATTATGTACTTTAGACATTTGGGAGAGTTCCCATAATGTAAATCATTTCTGGATTCTGAAAGCCAAATGAAAGAAACAAATGATGGGGGTCCACATTTTAACAAGGATGCTGGGTCTGTGGCAGACCTCAGCTCATTTTAGTCTCAGAATAGCCTCTTCAGCTGACCATGTCCCCAACTGGCCTACCTCATTCTAATAAGACGCACAGGTGTACAGTGGAAGTGTATTTGTAACTTTAGKGCTGGACCTAGGAAAATCTGCCCCTGTTTTTCTTGCTTTGACCCCATTAATTTCTTAATTAATTTGTTTTATTTTTATCCCAGAAATGCTTATTTCAGGGTGGGCTGTCTGCTAGGCATTCTTCTAGGCATACGTATGTACAATACAGTAATAAACAAAGGAAACATAAAAAAGATCTTACTTTCCTGGAACTTTCATTTTAGCATGGGAAACAAGCAGTAGCCAAGATAAATAAGCAAATACAAAGGAATTTCATAGTGACAATTCTATGAAGAAAAGAAAGTCAAGGAATGGGGAAATGAATTTTTAGTGAGAAGACTGCAATTAGAGAGCGAGGGTGGCCAGGGAAGAGCCTCACTTAGAACTTGAGTTTTGAGTAAAGTCCTGAAGGTAATTTGAAAACTGGTCCTGTAGCTGTCCCTCCAGGTAGAGGGAGAGCAAATGCTGAGAACTCAAAGCAGGAGAACCCTGGAGTAGTTGAGGAGGAGCAGATAGGATAGCATCATGGATGGAACTGAGTGAGCAACGTAGAGATTAGCAGGAGGTGATCTCAGAAAGGTCATTGGGATAGGGAGTCAGATAGCTTAGAGTCATTTAGTTTGGAATATGTTGAACAGAATTTGTTTTTTGCATTGAATGAACATTTAGATATTTATAACAGAGGTGTGACATATTTTTCTTCATATTTTACCAAGATCAATCTGGCAACTCCAGAGGATAGTCTAAGGAGTGTGAATTAATTCAGGAAAATCAAATATGTTAATGGAACATAGAAGTGATCTCAAAAACACACTTGCACGTAGGAAACTTGAATTATAATAGAGGTGGCATTTCAAATTATTGATGAAAAAATATTTTGCTCAATAGTGGTGCTAGATTAATTTGTCATACATGTGTCAAGAAAGAAAATTAATACCTTTATACTTTATACACACAATGAGTTTCAAATGGATAATGTTATTACCCAAATAATAAAAGCAATATGTATAAAACATTTAGAAGAAAATGTAAGAGAATATTTAATTTTGGAGTCAGGCAGTGGGGAAGACTTAAAAGCACAAAATGTATATATCATGAAGGAAATTTTTTGATAAATATGATTATAATAAAAGGGAGAACTTCTTAATTACAAAAGTCACCACAAACAAAGCAGGGAAAAACAATATTTGGCTACAAACTATGATAGACACACTGAATGAAACAATAAGACCAACTGTTCAGAAAACTGGACAAAAATTGTGAATAGTCATTTCAGAAAATAGCAGCCATATGGTCAATTAATATAGACTGCTTTAATCTGCCTCCTGTCACATTATTCTATCTTTTCCACAGCATACATCATCTTCTAATGAATTATATAATTCATTTAATTAATATGCTTACTATTTCTCCTACTAGAATATAAGGCACTGAAAATGCATGGTTTTTCTCATTTTATATTTACCAATGTATCCCAACTACTTAAGAAGAGTTCCTGAAATATAGTAGGTGCTCAATTAATATTTTTTGAATATGAATCTCATCAAGAATCAGGAAAATGAAAGATACAATTACATAATTTCCTAGACAGTGGATCAGCAACATGCATAATATTTGAAAATATATATTGATCAGTTAAACAAATAGAAGAGATCCTGTGTACTCTTAGAAGTTGAAGCTGGAGAGGAATTTGCCATTATCTAGTATATTTGAAGATGATCTATTATCAGCAACCTTTTTCACATATTGTTGGAAGGACATTCTACACTCAAGAAAACAGTAAAAAAGATTAAAAATAAGAGAAAATAAAATAAAGGGAAGACATGTTTATTGCAAATTTAAGACTGAGGCTACTGAAACTCAGGTTTCCTTTCCTGCAATGTATGTGAATGTGTATGTTGTTGTTGTGTGACCATTATGCATCACACTATGTGAAGCAGGGTCTAGGAATCTTAGGTAAAAATGCTAATATTCAGTCTGTTGCTATTGCTATAATTAATAAGATGTTCTTTGTATATGAACAAAGATTTTTATTACTTCAGCTAGTACCTGAAAAAACTGATAGTTTTACTTTATTAGCTTGTAAGATAAAATACCTTTTAATTTTTCTTTTTAGTTATATGTGACAGTAGAGTTTATTCAGATATATTTATACACACATGGAATATATCTGATTCTAAGTAGAATTCCAGTCTTGTGTATGTACATGCTATTGAGATTCACTAAGGTGTATTCATATATGAACATACAAAAGTTTCACCAGATTCATTCCAGTGTCTTTTCTGTTCCTATTCCCGTTCCCTTCCCTTTATTTTCTTTTGTCTAATCCATCGAACTTCTATTCTCCACCTTTCTTGTTGTGTGTTAGTATCTACAAATCAGAGAACATTTGACCTTTGGTTTTTTTGGGATTGGCTTATTTCACTTGGCATGACAATCTCCAGATTCATCCATTTCCTGGAATATGTCACAAAGGCATTCTTTTTTGTGGCTGAGTAATATTCCATTGTGTATATAAACTACATTTTCCTTATCCATTTATCTGTTGATGGGCACCTAGGTTAGTTCCATAGCTTAACTTTTGTTAATTCTGCTGTTAGATGTGGCTGTGTCACTGTAGTATGCTGATTTTAAGTCCTTTGGGTATAAACCCAGGAGTGGGATAGCTGGGTGAAATGGTTGTTCCATTCCAAGTTTTCTGAGTAATCTCCATACTGCTTTCCATAGTGGTCGCAGCAATTTGCAGTCCTACTAACAATGAGAGTACCTTTTTGCCCCACATCCTCACCAACATTTCTTGTTACTTTTATTCTTGGATAATTTCTATTCTAACTGGAGTGAGATTAAATCTCAGTGTAGTTTTAATTCATACTTCTCTAAATTGCTAGATATAATGAATATTTTTAATATTTGTTGACCATTCATATTTCTTCTTTTGAGAAGTATCTGTTTAGTTCCTTTGCCCAT